TTCCATGAGGACAATGTCATCAGCAATGTCCAAGAGGAATCTGCTGTCGTCTTTTGGCGGGATCGATCTTCAAATCTCTTTACTGACCACATTCACATCCACGTTTATAATTCAGTGCAACCACCGCACCCAATTGGAAGGTTTAGAGATGCAACTTCCTACCCAACATTTGTCTTCTATTCGTGCTGTTAATACGAAGAGACAGTGCTTAGTTTGGTATTTCAGGTGTCAGCACTAAACGCAAAAAAGAGAGAGAGAGAGAACTTCATCATCAGGAGGATTTTTTTTAGGTAGTGTTTTACTTCCTTATCCGCAATCTGCTTGGCAATTTCGCGATGCGTAAAAGCTGATTTCTATTGAGTTATTGTCAGAATAGACAATAGTCTACCGACGAGTTTGTAAAGCCCGAAAATGCCCTCGGCTGACATATCGGAAGCAATGATATTCTTGCTGGCTTCGACTTTCGCCTGCAACGAGGGTGGACCTGCACATATTAAACCCAGTTTTGGGTCTTGGGAGCCAATTTGTAGAGGTTCGAGGGGGTGCAAAACGCATTCTGCGTCTAGTTCAACACACTAAACCGAAGTACATCATGGGCCTGACAAGTACGGGTCATGAGGTAGCGAAATGTCTGGCATCGATGTTGTCTCTCTTTTTGCTTTCATAAATTTATCTTTCTCCCGCCCTTTAGATCGGCAGATAGAGTAAATTAAAAGAAGCTGCAAAAAAAGCGAAGAATTCTCTTTTCTCCCTATCTCTGGATCATCACGTGGCTGATATGCGTCTAGATGTGTACACGCCTACATCCTTTAACCCCCTCGACTTGACCAGACCGGCTAGTCGGGGCAAAGACAAAAATGATCACGCATAGGTTACTGAGGTCCTGTCTATCCGCGCATGTTTGAAGGGGAACCAGATAACGGTTCATCCTCCAATCACCAAAGAAGCTTCCACATTGGGGTGAGTTGAGTTGTAGTTTTTTCTCCATCTGATCCAGCCGGATGATAAGCCGACCACCGCGATGCTCAAGCTTTAGACCAAACCTCCACATGACACGCCATGCTTGCTCTCCGGCCACAGAGAACGTGGCTCCTCTTCTCCATCACTTTGTCGTCTTAGTTTCCCCTTCACCTCTACCGGTCGCTTGGCCAGCTTCCTCGTCAGTTCGTCGGTTGTCCGATTGTGTCGGCGTGCCGTCGACTCGGTCCACTGCTCCACTTCGATCCGGTCTCTAGAGCCTGTCGGATAAGTGTATGGAACAGGTGAATGAGAGTACAGGCAGTAGAACGAGGCTTCGACTCTGACTGTGACTATCGGTGGCCCTATCTTAAATGCTAACAAGAGACACCTTTGTTGAGACCATTATTCTATTGTGCCTCACTTATCTTTCTCTATCATTTGTGTACCATCGGCCAGTGTGTGTAAACAGACTTCTGCTTGCGTCTGTGTTGGCCTGAAGTCGTGTCCAGTTCTCCCAAACTGCCCCAATCTCCTACACATGTGGACAGTTGGGTGTGCAGACACGAGAGGCCAACCTGTGGACGAGGCGTTCAGGGATGTCGATGTGGTTCTCGTGGACACATACGATCCACGTCCCACCTGCACATGCGACTTTCTCGTCCAGCCCCTTCGAGGTGAGGTATCATTTGAGCTGTAGATAGGCGAGGGCAGATAAGGCGAATCGCAGTCGTGGCATTGCAGCAAGTTGAGTTTGTCAACAAGACCCCGACTGAAACAATCTTCGGCCTGTCGCTCTTAGCTGAAAAAGCTTACTAGGAAAAAGAAAAAATTATTTAGCCAGATTGTACAAATAATAGTTTATAATGAAGACGTGCATGTGTGCCTGGGTGTGCATGAGGCCTGCAACCACGTTGCTGACTGGTACCGGGAAAGAGATAATCGAGCTCATTCACCCACATGGCCAACATGGAACTTCACACCGGAATGCTTAACAGCCAGTACCAACCGAAGGCCATGTGTACAAAGTGTGCCATGTGTCTGCATGTGCATAGGCTTATGAACTGGGTTGTGGCTGTGTCTGAGTATTCACTTAAACAGGCTCTAATGTCTTGTAGTAAGGTCGAAACGGGCGCCAGTTTCC